TTTCTTACTCTAACCTTATCTCCATTCATTTATTTGAATTAGCCATCTAATGATAAAACATTTCTCTTTATCTTATTTTTCTAAAAAATATTATAAATAAATATAAATATCATCTTTAAATTTTTAATTTAAAAAATAATTATTTTGAGACAAAAAACTATTTATAATAAAAAAAAAAATGAGTGTGTCGTGGACTCATGGGCCTCACGGCACAATCCATTATAGATTAATCAGAGTTTTGGGGAGAAAGGAATAGACAAGTTCATCAACAAAGTTTTCAGTCAATGGAAATAATTGTTTGAAATATTCAGTTTAATGTCAGGAATAAAATTTTAAGCTTTGCTAAGTCTAAAACTTCCCCTTTGTCCATGGATATTGCAAAAAGATGGGGGATTGAGGCTGTTGTAAAGAATTGAGTACATGAGAGTTGTACTGACTTTTTATTTGATTGGTTGTAGCAGCAAATTGCTGCTCATGTATATTATAGTGATTGGATAAATAAAGATTTTATATTTTATCCCAAAAAAAAAGAAGAAAAAGATAAGATATTTTCAACCAATTATTACATATTTTAAAATTAAAGTTTTTTCTTTAGGGGGCATGGCCATCAGACTAATTGAATGTATTTAAAGAAATTAATTTTTTTAAATATTAATCACTAGACTTAAAAGTAGGAGCATGACCCATAAAACTACCCTTAATTAATGAATTCAATTTTGATTTTTGAGCAATGAGCAAAGATGGTTGGGGAAGGGCAAGACAAGCCCCATCCAGCTTAGTGCTGACCCGCTTACTTGCTGGTCGGCTGGCCCAGATTTTATGGTAATAATGGGCCGAAGAACATGTGGACGATAATGTTGTGCCCCGGAGAAGTGGCTCTGAATTCTGATAATTTTGGACACATTTCACAGAAAGTTGGTTGTCTAGCAACATGATTTGAACGCCGAATAAAGCTAGTGGGTACGAACTGGATGAGGTGTTGGTGAATTCTGAATTCTGATTAGCGTTGGTGAGCCGTCATTGTACTGTTTGTTAGGTTTCCTTCTTTCCCAGATCGAAGCTACGACGGGAAGAGGGAGAGAAGCGTTAAGATGGCAGTGGCGCAGCTGAAGTTTTGTACAGGGATTCTTCTGTTCATCCTCATTTCTTTGTGGAGTTCTGTTCTCAGCGTTGTTGCTTCGATTCACGAGTACAGAATGGAGTCATTTAGTCAGAAATCGAATGCCTGCTTCTTCCATGGTGGAAGTGAAGGGCTCTACGCTTCTAAGCCTCACCAAACTTCATCTTCCTCCTCTGCTGAAAAAGGGAAATCCTTTATTAGGTGCTTTCTTTTATTTTCTCTCTTGTGCTTCAAATCCCTGTCTTGTTTATGGGTTTTTTTTTTTTATTATTTGGGTCTTAGTTTTTTCTTATGTTGCCCTTTATTAAAGACTAATCATTTAATAGTTGGTGAATAGCCATTGACTGTTTGTGCCAAATTCAATCCACTTGCTTGACAAATTTGTCTCATTTTAGCCAAAGAGATTCATCTTTTCTTGTTACCTGATAGTCAACACACAGAGGTGATTGGTGGAGCTATTTGGCTATCCTATGCTTTGAATGTTTAAGAATTTGGCCCGGGTATCTTTAATTTGACTAATTGAAAGATGGGGTGGTTTTTCTTATTTGAATGTTAAATGTAGTTGTGATGAGATTGATAGTTGCATTTGATGTCAGCCTTACTGATTGAATTTTTTTAGGTTTGATTCTGTCAACTTTGTGAGGACAAAAGAGTCTGCTCTTAAGGAGAATGAAATGCAGCAGAGTACGGGGGTGGTGGAAGCAATCATATTGGAGGTCAAGGACAGAGAAAGAATTGGTTCTGATATGATTTGCTGCACGCGAAGTCTTTCAGAGGATGGTTCCTGCAAGGTTGGTGAGGTTATCATCCACAAAAACCCAGACAACCCTGAGTGGCCTAAACGCATAAAGACTTCCTTTGAGGGGAATAAGGAAGAAGCTAAAATGGATATTGAAGAGATTGAAATAAATAGTACTGGTATGTACTACCTTTATTTCATGTTTTGTGATCCGCATTTAAATGGTACTCTAATCAAAGGAAGAACCGTATGGAAGAATCCAAATGGTTATTTACCAGGGAAGATGGCTCCTCTGATGACCTTTTTTGGCATCATGTCTTTAGCATACCTTCTGCTTGGTCTAGGCTGGTTTCTTAGATTTGTGCAGTTCTGGAAGGATATCATACATTTGCATTACCATATCACTGTGGTGATTGCCCTTGGTATGTGTGAAATGGCAGTCTGGTACTTTGAATATGCTAATTTTAATTCGACTGGGAGGAGACCAATGGGTATTACATCATGGGCAGTAACTTTTAGCTCAGTTAAGAAGACTGTATCTCGCCTCCTCCTTCTGGTGGTGTCCATGGGCTATGGTGTGGTGAGGCCAACCCTTGGTGGCCTAACATCACGGGTACTTCTACTTGGCTTGGTATATTTTATTGCAACAGAGGCACTTGAGCTGGTCGAAAACTTGGGAAACATCAATGACTTTTCTGGGAAAACCAAGTTATTTTTGGTGCTGCCTGTTGCTTGTCTGGATGCTTGGTTTATCCTATGGATTTTCTCTTCATTATCGAAAACATTAGAGAAACTTCAGGTAATGATCTTCATGTGTCAATTCTCCTTGTGTAGTTGTGTAGACATATAAGACATGTAATGCTCAGATGATTACATGATAGACAGAGAGATAGGCTGTGTATCTATTCACATGGCAATTGGCTTTCTGGTGCATCTGGTGTTTTCATAACTTGCCAAATTCTTAAACCCAAATTGGGCATGTTTGGTTCAGCTTCCAAGTGCTTCAACTTTTTGACACTATTCATGTTTCGTGGGTTTAAATTTCTCTATTAAAAACTTACATTTTAAAACTTTTTTTTAACTTTAAAAAGACCTCAAACAGTAAAAGCTCAAAAGCTTCAAATCCAAGCTTTTTATAAACTCCCTTTTTACTCACTTTTTCCAATCTCTAAAAGCAACTTTTAAATTTTCCCTTTAATAAAAATTTAAACTTATCACTCATAAACAGTACAAAAAAAATAAAAGCTCTTACAAGCTAACCCAAACATGCTCTAAAGTTCTTGTCATATCAATCAGCTGCTTCCCATTTTACTCCAAATTAGGATCAAAGATTTTCTTGAACGCACTTTGTCTGGAGTCATAATTTCTATAAAATGTTCAGGTACCAAGTACTTGCTTAATCTAATGTTTTTGTCTGCAGGCTCTTCATATTGTTACTCCTTAAATCTGGTTTGGATAGCTTTACGTAGCAGTGCATCCTTTTATCTATGTTGCACATATATAAACCTTCTAAATTTTTTATAAATTTTTCTTTAGTTGTCACCCTTCCACCTTTCTAAGAATTATTTCATTTCATCCTTTCTTATGTAATACCTGTATTTTTACTTTGTTCAAGCTTAAGATGGCCTGTCTATAGTCTCATCTACTAAGGCTATATGGCATGTACAGAGGAGAAATGATTAAGATATGCCCATAATATCAAGCACTGTACTTAGAATGGCATGAACCTTGCGTGAATCTTGGGTGATGGTGCACTGTGATTGATTGATTATATACTCTTTAATTTTAATGCAGTTGTTCTCACACTAATCACCATTTTATTTGTATCTGCCCTTTATGAATTTTAGTCAAATGGATGTTCATCTCTTTTTTAATATCTTGCCATTTATCTAATGTGTAGCAACTTTGTAACTGTATTCATCTTTCTTCCTTTTCTGTATAGATGAGGAGAAACATGGCAAAACTTGAATTGTACCGAAAATTTACCAATGCACTTGCAGTATCTGTGCTTTTGTCTATTGCTTGGATTGGCTTTGAGGTAATACAAGATCTTGTGTGTTCATTTTCTTTTTTTCTCTTTTTCTTTTTCTTTTTGTGAAAAATAACAATTAGTTTAAGGAACTCTTATCTTGGCTCAGTTATACTTCAATGCAACTGATCCACTGAGTGAGTTGTGGCAAATTGCATGGATCATCCCTGCTTTCTGGAATTTAATTGCATACACTCTCCTGGTGGTTATATGTATTCTCTGGACTCCTTCACACAACCCAACCAGGTAAAATTCTTTGTTCCTTGCTACTAGCTGTGAATGCATTTCAGGTTCTCTGCGTTTTTAGTCTTTTCTGAACTTAAAGGGTACTAACCTTTGTCTGATAAATAACCCACTAAGCAGAATCAATTTAAGGATTTTCTAAACTTTGAAGACTCTGAATAACATGCCTAATACTTTTTGGTTATTTGGGTCATTATTTTGGCCTGGAGGAAGCTTTCTTCCTTTTTCATATGCTTTTACATAAATTATTTTTAATCGTGTACACTTTGTAATTCCTTCTACATATGAACAATCCCTTCTGTATCTGTCTTCTTTAGGTATGCATACATGGAGGAGACAGGCGAGTACTCTGATGAGGAGGGTATTGCATTGACGAGCGCTACTGGGGAAGTAGCAAGTAAGCTGGAAAGGAAGGAAAGGAAAGGATCTATTGTAATAGGAGAAGATCTCGAAGAGGACAAGCGTGAATAGAGAGGAGAGGACCTTGTACAAAAATACCAATTCCTGAAATCCCCAGCTTGGATCCACAATCTGTATTGTATCTACAAAAATACTGTGACTGAAATACCACGAACAGTCATGAAAACTGATATGATGAAAATTTTTACAGCTGAAATTGTGACTTTCTGACCTTTTGCTAACTTATAATCAGCAAGACAAAGACATCCTTCTTCACCTTTCTGATGTGTTTGTCTGCTTTTATCTTGTCGTTTCGTTACATTTGGAGATAGGTATTCTTTACATGTTTCAGCAGAAAAACGTCTCTCTCTGCTGTTAGTGTTGTGGACCTCTTAGCTTCTTAAATATAGAGGGTGAAAACGACCCAAGTTAAAATGTCGTCACTACGGCTGCTGCAACCACCTTCCCCACGAGCGTTACCATCACCTCCACTACCATTGCAACAGTCACCATCAACATCATCAGTCACAAATCCCCACACCATTCAGGTGATTTAAAAAATAATAATTATTACAATTTTAGGTAGGTTTGAAATTTATTTTTTCAAAAAAAAGATAATAATAAAAAAATAATTTTCCATATCACTGACTGATTTTAATCAATTACTATTTGCATGATGGGAGTCTAGTTTGAATCTAAAATGGAATTTACATAAGTAACATTTAAAATAATTTCTCATGGCACTTTTTTCTACAGTATTTTATAAAAATATTAATTTATTATAATTAAATTAATTTTAATAAGTTTTGTATAATTTTATAATTATATTAATGTTTAAAATTTTTTTAAAATAGTTATTAAATAATAACATAATTTTTCTTATAGTTAAATATTAAAAAAACACAAAGTTACAACACTTTTCAGTGATTTCAAACACAGCCAATTACTTTTTATTCAAAGCATTTGTTAGACAATTTTAATGTTTTTGGGAACCACTCTACTCAATTGCCATCATCCTATTGGAAGCACAATAATGCTAGGTTTAACCATAGCAGGGGGAAAGAAAAAGAAAAAGAAGAATCGAAAAATCCTAATATTTATATACCACCTTCCGTAAACAGTATCAATCATCTCTTCCACAGGATCTAATTCAGATTTCTTGAGAGCCACCATGGTTGAGTAAAGTCTCTCCTGGACCAAGGGAAACTTTGTCAGATTAAGATAACGAATGAAATTCTCAACATGGTTTAGAAAATTGAACTAGATTTATTATTTGAAATTGATTGAAAAATTTACTTCCACAAGATCAGGTAAAAAGATAAACATCTTTCTATGTACTGAACAAGAAACAATCCCAGCTTATGGGGACTTATAATAAACTGTTACTTTCCACAACTTGGGAAAGATACGAACGAATTTAAGAATAATCCTATTTGTCGATTAAAGCAACCTGGCTGTGCTCAGCTTAAGCTGAAACAAAACTAAAAGGTATATAACAATTAATAAATTAAAATGTAATTTTTACATATTGATCCTTTTGGACAAA